GGTGGGTGTTGGTTATTTTTCCATGTAATACTCCGGAATAGTCCAGGTTTTGCTTAGCTTGCTGCCATGCTCTAAATTGAATTATCTCAGGTCTTTCATGTGTCTTTGGGTGTTTCAATACACATTTTGTCACTCAGTTCAGTGTCAGTTTGGTGGATTGCGTAAATTTGTGTGCATCAGTTTCTTATAGCTGCTAGTTTGCATCAAGGCCCCTTTCATCCTTTTGATGCGATTATTTCAGAGACATGGAGGCTATTCCATGCTCATCACGTTGGAATTGAAATCTTTGTTATTTGGTGGCTTTCCTCTTTCTAGCAAGTGTATGTTTAGACCGTCTATGCTTCTTCACAAAATCTCAGTCGGTTTTTCTTCCAGACCTGAGTCCAGCTTTGCCATCTAATGCACGGTGAGTACTGAAAAATGCCCTCCCGAGGGCAGCTGCCTTTGCTGCCTGTGTTGTGCTACCCCATCCCACCCTCTGTGCTCCTGAAGTCATTCTGATGGAGAAGAAGCCGGAGAAGATGGTGGTGTTTTCTCTGAGGCAACAGCAGTCTTGTCTTTACTGGTTAAACTCAGTGGCGCAGCGTGGCAAGGCTATGGTCCCTGGTTGATGTCCTTTTGTTAAATCAAGCTGTGCTGACTGTGTAACATACAGGTCTGACCTGCCACTACAATGAAAACCTCTTTCTAGATGAGTCAGGGCTAAACTTGTCATGTCATCAGCTGATTACCTCTCAGTACTACCTGCTCATTTGTATGCAGCTTTTGCAGTGTCCCACGCTCAGGGTTATAGCTCATCGGCCCGTGTATCTGTAAGGCACCTTGTGCTTTATCTCATTTATGTGAAGCAAGTTTGCTTTTTTATCTCTTGCCAGTTAAATTATCCTGAGGTGTCTCCGCTCCGAGCCCAGCTGAAGGGTTTTTCTGTCCAGTGCCATCAGACGGCTTGATGGGACTTGAACTGCCTTGGCTGTGATAGCGGAGGCAAAACTGAGCGGAGAGAAAACGACCATTGTGTGACTCGTACTAATACAGTGTGTCGAGAAAAGAAATAGAAAAGAACGGGATGAACAGGGCAGCCACCCTCTGTTTGAATTTTGCTCGGACTTTATTTGATCAAGTCAGTGGGTCACCAAGGAGGGGGGGTTGGTAAATGGCACGTTAAGGGTACGGGTAGATGCTGGCAAACTGTGGCGACTGTGAGCACAGCGAGGGCGGCGAAGGGACACAAAAGGCTTGGCAAGGGGGCACTGGGCATAAGGAGCCAGCGTAGCCAGCGAGTCCCCTTGGCAAAGGGCACACGCAGACATCTGTGGGAGATCAGCTGAGGCACAGCCAAGGAGAAGCCGATGGCACTTGGGAAGCAGGAGTGTGGAAGGGAACCACTGAGATAACAGGCAAAAAAATTAGTCTGCAGTTTGCAGTGTAATTGGCTGGAAAACCCCCGTCGCCCATTGTACTGCGCGGGCGTCGTTGCCTTATTAGCTGTCGCTAGATGACTGTGATCCAGCGTCCACGTTCCTTTGCTCTCCAGTCGGCCTGCAGCGTCTGGGAGCAGCGGAACAGCAGTGACAGAAGTGCAGGTTCAGCCTGGGCCGGGCAACAACATTCTGGAGTAGCTCTGTGCTCCTCAACTGTGCTTCTGAGCTGCAAGGAGAGGTCTGGGTACCGTCTGTTCTCTGGGAGCTCTGGCACTTGGCATTTTATCCTCCTACCTCATCTGCTTGGGGAAACAGGAGAGTGAGGTTAGAGACACTGCAGCACCTTTAAACTTGGGCTGTTATTCCGAGTGACGCTATTGTCGCTGCGGAACACGGTGGGATGGAGGATGGCAGTGCTTCTCTCTGGCTCCGTGTTAGCTGTTTGCAGTTTAGGTCCTAGGAGATGCTTGGAACTAGGTGTTTTGAGCCTGTGGTGTGCAAGCTGAGGGTGAAGCGTTGGTTCAGGTTTTCAGGCAGACAGATCTGCTTCGGGCATTGGCAGAGAGATGAATGGCGAGAATAACAGATGAACTAACATGCTGTTGAAGCTTTTGAACTAGTCACAGACTAAGTTTTATCATCGTATTTCAGCATTTTTTGTGTAAATCACCATGTTTTCTCACTGATAATTTACCTGAGAACTTGCTCGTTGTTATTTTTTCCACATGGAATGACTGCTGATGCACAAGAGAAGCTTCAAAGTCTCTCCCAAGAGTGTAAGTGCCCTTTTTGTGAATGGTGTTGATGATGCCTTGCAAGGACAGACATGGAGGAAGCCTTGGAGTCCCAGAAGTCTTGATGGAAGAGATCTTGGAAGTCTCGAGCCCAGCCGTCTGCTCAAAGCAGGGCTGTTGCCAGTGCTACGTGAGATCAGCCATGGCTTTGGCTGAGCCTTAACCGCCTCTGCGATGGAGTGCAGGAGTAGCTCGGGAGTGCTCTTGCAGCTGCATAGCCTGATGTTAGAATCATAGAATCATTTAGGTTGGAAAATCCCTTTCAGATCATAAAGTCCAACCATAAACCTAACACTGCCGAGTCCACCACTAAACCATGTCCCTAAGCACCACATCTTGCACCTCCAGGGATGGTGACTCAGCCACTGCCCTGAAGTTGCCACACTCCAGCTCCCAGCTTTATCTGTGTGTTGCCCCAGAACCAAGTCCTGCTTTTTGTCGAGACAGAAAGGTGGTGGGTGCAGGGAACGTCTGAGGCACTAGCCCTCCCATGTGGGTGAACCATGATGGTCATCCCTTTGTTCTTTGTAGTGGAGATTGCGTGTTAATTGTACCGCTCCCACGTATGACAGAGCCACTACGTGACCATCTCTGGGCATGCTTAGCCATTGAGGAAGACAGTTTGGGCAACTACCACCCCAGTCTGGTGTCTAAAGGTACAGTCTGGTGCTAGACAGGCAAGAATCTGGAGATGGAAAAAACCTCAGCACTGTCTGTTAACCTGTAATGACGCAGAAGATTAAACCTTGCTTCTTGCACAGCTCCAGCTGCACTGCTCCAAAGCATTTTGTATTTGGCTGTGCTGAAATTTAGTCCCAGGGAGATTAAATTACTTTTTCCTCATCGTTCATATCGATCCCCTGTTGCTGGCTGTGGATGACAAATGGACTTCCCACTCCTTCCAGCTCTAGTTGCTCTGGGAGGTACATTGCAGCTTTTTTAATCTTTTCTCCTTTGGGAGGGGGTCTGTAAAAGCAGTGGGGGAAAATCCTGGCTACACAAATCGGGATATGCCGTGGCATTGGGTAGCAAAGCAGAAGGTTGTTTTGGAGGTCAAAGCCATTTTCCACTTAAGTCATTAATGGCTGTTATGAGTGTAGCCTCTTGTGGCAGCTTGAACTGGAGAGGGATGTTCTGAGGTTGGGCACCTCTGAAGGAGGACAGTGGACGCGATGATGCCTTGGTATGGAGAGTCTTCCCTGTTGCAGCAAGTCTTCGTCTCCTCCCCCAAGAGATGTTGGTGTGCTTGCAGGCTGAGAGCACTGGGCTGCTGGCTTTTGTTGGCCCGGCTTGCCAAGGAGGGGGATGGCTGGTTCGTCTCCCCGTTTGCTCCTCCGCCCTGGGCTGTCCATTGGCAAACATCAGCCTGATTGTGATGCTGCAGACCTTGGAGAGATTGTTCTACAAACCTCGGGAAAATGGATGGCTGGGGAAGAGCTAGTATTAGGTCTCGAGTCACAGGTCTGTTGGGTGCAGGAGAACAAGCACAGCAGCAGGATGTTACAAATGTCCTGGCAATAGGAGACTGGAGACTGTATTTACTGTGTGCCAGGAAATGCATGCCTTGACCAAGGATTCCTTTCCTGTGTGGGTTGCAAGCAGAAAGCTTTTTCCTAGTTGGAATATTCATAGGTTCACTCTCTTATGTAGGCCTTGATGTGTGATAAGGGGTGAGCTCACCCTGCCTGGTTGATTCTTAATATATTTCTGTAAAATCTCAGTCATCCAGGAGACCTGACTCTGTCGGAGAACCAGGAACTGCTTTGGTGGGGTGTTGTGGGGGTGTCTCAAATAAGGTTGTCCAGTAGTCCGAAAACTGACATAGTTGATGCTTGAGAACTTAGGGTTAAGGACAGTAAAATGGGTATTAGCATTCATGTGTAAGCTGTGGTAGCTCACAGACAGGACCATTCCAGAATAGATGGCTGGGGTGATGGTTGAGATTGCGGTGGAGATACCTTCTTCCCTGGGCTGCCCAAAGGGGTTTAACTTAGGGTGGTTAGACACAGCCATCCAGTTCCTATGTGCATCACAGAAACAAGGCCAAGTTTAATGCAGGTGCATTTCAATTTTTTTCGGCTTTAACAGAGAAGCTGAAGACTAAAATAGTCCTGGGCTTGTAGTCCAACTCTATTTTCCCCTTTGGCTGAGGGAACACTGAGGTTTGTTAACCAGGAAGCCCCCAGTGCTATTGCAGCATGTTTAAGAGCAACGAAACTAGTGAAGGGTTTAGAGAACTTGTCCTATGAGGAGCGGCTGAGGGAGCTGGGACTGGTCAGTCTGGAGAAGAGGAGGCTGAGGGGGGACCTTCTCACTCTCTACAGTTACCTGAAAGGGAGTTGTAGGGAGATGGGGGTCGGTCTCTTCTCCCACGTTATGAATGACAGGACGAGAGGGAATGGCCTCAAGTTAGGCCAGGGGAAATTTAGGTTGGACATCAGGAAAAATTTCTTTCCAGAAAGGGTTGTGAAGTATTGAAACAGGCTGCCCAGGGAGGTGGTGGAGTCCCCATCCCTGGAGGTGTTTAAAAACTGTGTGGATTTGGTGTTGAGCAACATGGTTTAGGGACCCTGACAGTGCAGGGTGAACGGTTGGACTCGATGATCCTGAGGGTCTCTTCCAACCAGACAATTCTATGATTCTGTGATTTAGATAGGTGTTGCCTGAAGCTGAGGGAAAGGCAGCTGCAGGAAAACAGCAGTATACTGATACTGAACTGTTCCTTGGCTTTTAACCATTACCCCTCTGTTTTTTTCTCTCCTTCACTGCCTTCTGTGATGCTTGGATGTGCAGAGCGGCAAGGGCTTTTGGAGAGTATCTTTCACAAAACCATCCTGAAGGTAGAAACGGCTCAGGTAAGAGAATTCACATGCCTTGTTTATATCTGTATGTGCATGCACCTGCTTGTTAATAGGCCTTAAAATGAAAGTGTCTTTATTTTAATCGTCAAGGGTTAGTGTGAGATCTCAGCAGCAGAGAGGCAGGAGGAATCGCTGTCTAGATCTGTGAAGCCCTTGAGGAGAAAAGGCAGTTTGGTGACTCAAGGGTTGGGGTGGGCTGTGGGGACAAGTTCAGTTTTAGTGGACAAGTGCCCTGTCGGAAATTCACCCCTAGAGCTGGTGTCCTTGGAAGAAGTTTCAGCTGGGAAGTGAAAGGCTGCACTGCACAAGGCTTCTGCACTGGGTCCCTCCTGGGTCTTGCTTTCACTGGGGAATAAAAAGAGGTGAGTTACAGTGTGTGAACTGACGTGCTTAGTGTACGTGCAGCAATCTCTCTCTGCTAGCAAAGGTAGCCTCTGGATTTATTCCCAGGGTTTCCTTCAACAGGGGTTAAAACGAGATTGGCCTTGTCTAGTTGAGGACACCAGCATGTGCTAGTTCATGTGTTAATTTTTTAAATGCAGGAATCGCCCCTGTCGTCTCTGATCAGCTCTCCTTGATGGGCAAGGGGGCATGAGAGAACCTCACTTGACACAGGGTTGTGTCTTCTCCGCGGGGAAAGAAATATTGTGAAGACACTAAATTCACTACAAAACCTGTAGAAAATCCTGTGGAATCCACAGAAAATCCTGTGTGAACAGTAACAGATTATCCTGTAGCATCGAACTGCTTTGCAGGCGACAAAGTTATTAAATAGAACCTAACGTAGAGTGATGTTATCGTTTTAGGTAAACTGTAAGGGCGTGTGTTCCATTAAACTTCTAAGGTGGGAAATGCCTCTTGCTAAAAGTTCAAGCCCAGTCGCACTGGGCTCTGACAGCGGCTGAGTGAGCCTTTTTTCTTGGATCTGTTCTAATGACCTTCAAGTTGTCCTTGGCTGAATTGTGCTAACTCTGAATAGAAGGGCTTTAAAACAACATACTGCAATTTTCTTTGAATTTTTCTCAGGCTTGAGGAACTCCAGTGACACATTACTTAACAATATTTGATCTAAGAACTGCCCGTGGTGGCAGGAAGGGAAGGGTAGAAAACGGCTGGGGTTTAACGCAGCTGAGATGAAGCGTCGGTGAGGCAGAGGGGAGGAAGGGGTTGGACACAGACAGTGCAGAGACAGGCTGGGCAGGTCTGAGGAGGCTTCCCAGAATGGCAACGACATTCCTTGTCATGGCCGTTTTTGTGGCTGCATCTGTCAGCTGGAGTCTTTGCTGGTCCTTTTCTGCAGTCCCCCACCCCAGTTTCCAACAGGGAGGAGTGTTGTCTCCTGCTGGCTTTATAGTGCCCTTGTAGTACCGGTGGGGTCACGTTCAGGCCAGATAGACAGTCTCTGTTGGAGATGAGGGGAAATGGTGGATCTGTTTGGGTGCCTGAGACCTGGAGAGCCCTGGTCAAAGCTGAGTAGGAGCTTCTCTGATGCCCACTTACAAATCTGGTGTTTTACTCAGCCTTATGGGTGCTCCTAGTGCCTCATTCCTCCCTGACTGTAAATAAGGAGAACATGGAAATGGAGCTGATGTGACTCCAGGATAATGCACCGCTGTTGGAGTCCCCAGACCAGTGCTTGAGCCCTCTCTGTTCTTGTAACATATCCGTAAGCTCTTCAGGGAAGCCTTCTCATATCCACTGCCCCCTTGACATATCAGGCTTTGGGTCGTATTTGAATCCAAGTGAATTTAGTTGCCACAGATAAGAATCAAGCAGCGAGAGGTACACATGGAAATACCACAGTCCTTATGGGATCCTTAAGTATTGACTTGGAAATAAATAAAGTTCCTTAGAAATGACTCTAAATGCTTATAGAAGAGGAAAAAGAAGAATCATAATTTTTTAAGTCGTCTTTTGAAATTCTGCAGTGTATAATTTAACACAGTCTGTAACATTTCTTTATGAATAGCCATGGTAGGAAGGTTGTTATCCTATGAAATTGTTGAGAGTAGAAAATTTGGCTCCCTTTTGTTCATCCCGGTAGTCCAATAACAGAGAAGTCAACTCTTTCCTTCCCGCAGAAATTCTCTATAACTCAGTATCACTTTCACAAGTTTCTGAATGCTGCACTTAAGCTGTTTGATTAGCTCTGATCCAGTGACTGCTGGGAAACAAATGAAGGGCCTCTTCTATGGAAGCTGGAGATGTAGCACTTCTACAGAAGTACCTGAATCTGCTCCAACTCATCACTTGGCTGAAGAGAGCAGGGAGAGGCAGTGTTATGGCTGTTCAGACCCATCAGTTTCCTGTAGTTAAATTGCTGCTTGCATGTTTTGGTGGCTTAGGTCCAGAAAGCTCAGGACACTGAAGAATTGCGTCCTCGGTGCATGTATGTCTCTGTTCATAGCACTCTGGGCTTTCACCATGAGTGTCTTTACCTGGTGGGATAGGCCTCTCTTCTGCTGTAATGACCCTGGCTGCATACGTGGATGCTCCTGGCACTGCCCGCAGACTGCAGGTGGCATTAAGGCTCTGCCGTGGGTGTGAATGGAAGGAGGCAGGCCTTGGCTTCAGTAGTTGATAGCCCAGTGTGGGAGAAGGATTGTGGTCTTTGAGGAGCAGGAAGGTGGCAGAGCTGTCAGTGGGACAGTGGAGGAGGAGGGAAGGGCAGGATCCTCCTCTTCTGCAGATACAGGAACTAGAACCCTCCTCTCGCAGCAGAGGACAATCCTCGTGCAGAAAACGAGGGTGTGAATCTTTGGGGTGCTGGTTCTTTTTAGGGTCTACCTGCTCGTTCAGCTCCTTGGCAGAAGGGTGGAGCTCCATGATGCCCCAGGCAGATGCAGGAGACCCACCATCTGGATGGAGATGCCGAGTGTGCAGAGACTGCCCCAACTCTCTCCATTTGTGCTGCACTTGTTCTCTGAGGATCATCTATTTTGGTTTGACTTTTTATATCTCAGAGTCCCTTGACTCCAAGGGAAGGAGATGGTGTAACGGCTCTTGCATCTCACCTCTTTCTTCACGTTCCACAACTGATCAAAGAGCTTATTCTTTGTTGTTGACTTTTACACCCCAGAGTCTATTTCTGGTGGCTTCTCTGGCGAGTTTGTGTGTGAGTGTGGCAGAGCAGCTTTGAGAAATTGTGGAGTGGTAACGAAGAACTACAGAGGGATTGTATATCAGCAGGATGGGCCAGCTGCCACGTCCCAACATTTAAATGAGGGGTGAGTTATTTGCAAGGCTTTGTTTACCTTCTGTTTTGAATAAAATTGCAGTCCGTGCTCTGCTTCCTTCACTAGGGCAGCGGGTATGGAATTAGAATCATAGAATCATAGAATGGTTAGGGCTGGAAGGGACCTTCAAAGGTCATCTAGTCCAACCCCCCTGCAAGGAACAGGGACATCTCCAACTAGATCAGGTTGCTCAGGGCCTCATCCAACCTGGCCTTGAACGTCTCCAGGGATGGAGCATCCACCACCTCTCTGGGCAACCTGTTCCAGTGTTCTACAACTCTCATGGTAAAAAATTTTTTCCTAATATCCAACCTGAATCTACCTCCCTCTATTTTAAAACCATTACCCCTTGTCCTATCACAACTGGCCCTCCTGAACAGCCTCTCCCCATCTTTCTTGTAGGCCCCCTTGAGGTACTGGAAGACCGCTATAAGGTCACCCCAGAGCCTCCTCTTCTCCAGGCTGAACAGCCCCAACTCTTTCAGCCTGTCCTCATAGGAAAGGTGCTCCAGCCCTCTTATCATCTTCATGGCCCTCCTCTGGACCCTCTCCAACTGGTCCATGTCCTTCTTATGTTGGGGAATTGAACATCAGCAGGAGGTAACGAGGATTGCAGGATACCACAGGGTATACGTGCAGCAAGAAAATGTGAGGAAGAGTATTTGTTGTTGGTTACAACTTCTGATTCTTCCTGATGTGAGGCCTGAGAACTTCATGGCTCAAAAATATTGTGTGACTGTCCCTCTGCAACTCTTTGATGTCTTATTCTGGAGGAGGCTGTTCTGGGGAGGTACATTTCCCTCTGCTCCTCTGTTGCTCGGCTCAGAGTGCGCTCACCATGTTCTGTGAGGTTACAGCAGGGATGATGGCAATACAGATTTTTCTTCCCTTTTCTTCCCTTTTGGAACAGGGGAAGAAAAGGGAAATACCACAGTCCTTATGGAATCCTTAACAGATCCCTGTTGCTGGCGGAGGATGAAGGGGTTGCCCCCTTGGGATTGCTCAGATTTTTTCCTCTTGATCTTTGAGATATTCTGAGGAATTAGCAAAAAGGGAGGGTTAGACTCTGCTGCAGCTGGCAGGACACAGATCTGATAAGGAAGCTGGTGTCGTGGTAATGCATCTCCTGCTCTCTCCTTGCCTCTGTTCGTTACTGGCTTACTCATGCAGGCTGAGGGTCTGGGAAGGTTCCCAAGAAGAGCACTCTCCCATCTTCAGCATTCATTCTGACTGCAAGGCTGTTGCCAGAGTCCTTGCTGACTCTCGTAGCTTTCTGGTACCTTCCAAAGACTTTCCATCTTGTCTGTGGCATGGTTTTAGTGTAAGAGTGAGTGTCCCTTGGGACAGATCTAGATGAAAGATGGGGCAAAGGATTGAAATGTTGTGAAAGGGAAGTGTAAAAAGGCTGCAGAGTGCAAAACATAGAAGAAGTAATCACTCAAAGTCTCACCAGAGCTCATGGGATAAGGAGTTTTGGATATTCCCAGAGTCTCCTTCTCCCACCTTAGGTGTCAGAGGCCTCCACTGAGATACAGTTCCAGTGCACGGAGATAGAGAAATCTAAAGCAGTGAGAGGAGGAAGATACCCAGGGCATGGGGCGGTGAAATGAAAAATGACAGCGAGCAGAGCGTTGGAGAAACTTCCTCCTGTCCGGGGAGAAGCAATAATGCGTCCCAGTGAGACGGATCCTTCGCTGAGGAAATAGAGGGGGCTGTGCTGGGATTTTTTCCTGTTACTTTTTCTATCAGGCAGTTTCT